ATGAATCAAGACATGGTTTTTAGAATGAAAGTAGCATTTCAGAATCAGAAAGCATGATCCTTTTAGAGCACGAGCGATAATAACAACAACAATATTCAGTTTCTTCCTTTCTTCAAACAAAGAAAATGTTCACAGAGAGAAGAAATTGAGTTTTGTTTTGGGGAAGTTCTTCTTATAGAGCTCTAGCTACAGTTCATAAAAAAGTGTACATTTTTATGACTAAATGAAATACTTTTAGTTTAAGTTAAACAATTTTTTGTGGTTAATGACAAAAATAAGTATCTTACTTTACAAGTTAATATCCAAAATGTCCCCAAGAGTTGACAAAAAGTGTCTCAATCCCAAGTAATCAAGTAAAAGATATAATTAGTGAGTATCTAATCTAGATTTTGTAAATGAGAACTATAGTCAAAAGATTTGGTTAAGAGAGAAAAATATCTTCTTTTTAGTATAATGGTTAGTAACTATTTGTTTTGGTTTTCAATGCTTTGAGATCATCTATCTAACTAAAGGATTGGTTCTTTTGTGTATGGTAAAGGTTTTTGTATTGAATTTGAGTAAAATACAAAAAAATGGAAAAAACAGTAGCAACTTGTAACATTATTACTTTTGTTTCTGTCTGTTTTCATTTGTCCTTTATGTTTTCACAGTAATTATTCTTTCTTCTTGTTTCAAAGTGTACTATCAAGTTTCAAACCAATGTTTTTGAAAATGATAATCACACAAGTGGAAAGCATCTTAGACCGATTGAAAACAAAACACCTAACCAAATAATTAGTTGGACAATTAAAAGCAAAATACTAAAATCTTTAAAATGACAAAAAGCATCCACTTGCCATTCACAATGACACACAAGTTATAGATCTAAAACTCGGACTTATCAATACATAGTTTAAGGTGCACTTTGAAACTTTTCTTTGCCGGTTATAGAAAATTTGGTACATTCAAAGAATGGTAAACTATAAGAAACAAAAGCACTTATGGCTTGTATTATTATAGTAGTTGAATGGTAGAAATG